AACCTCCTTCCCTCAGTAAGAGCATTGAAGATGGGTCGTGGCTGGGTCTTCCAGCATGACAACGACCTGAAACACACAGCCAGGGCAACTAATGAGTGGCTCCGTAAGAAGCATCTCAAGGTCCTGGAGTGGCCTAGCCAGTCTCCAGACCTGAACCGAATAGAAAATCTTTGGAGGGAGCTGAAAGTCCATATTGCCCAGCGACAGCCCCGAAACCTGAAGGATCTGGAGAAGGTCTGTATGGAGGAGTGGGCCAAAATCCCTGCTGCAGTGTGTGCAAACCTGGTCAAGACCTACAGGAAACGTATGATCTCTGTAATTGCAAACAAAGGTTTCTCTACCAAATATTAAGTTCTGCTTTTCTGATGTATCAAATACTTATGTCATGCAATAAAATGCAAATTAATTACTTAAAAATCATACAATGTGATTTCCTGGATTTTTGTTTTAGATTCCGTCTCTCACAGTTGAAGTGTACCTATGATAAAAATTACAGACCTCTACATGCTTTGTGAGAAGGGAAACCTGCAAAATCGGCAGTGTATCAAATACTTGTTCTCCCCACTGTATATGTTGAAGAGTGTGGGGCTTAAACTACATCCCTGTCTCACCCCACGGCCCTGTGGAAAGAAATGTGTGTGTTTTTTGCCAATTTTAACCACACACTTGTTGTTTGTGAACATGGATTTTATAGTGTCGTATGTTTTTCCCCCAACCCGACTTTCCATCAATTTGTATAGCAGACCCTCATGCCAAATTGAGTCAAAAGCTTTTTTGAAATCAACAAAGCATGAAAAGACTTTGCCTTTGTTTTGGTTTGTTTGTTTGTCAATTAGGGTGTGCAGGGTGAATACGTGGTCTGTCGTATGGTAATTTGGTAAAAAGCCAATTTGACATTTGCTCAGTACATTGTTTTCACTGAGGAAATGAACTAGTCTGCTGTTAATGATAATGCAGAGGATTTTCCCAAGGTTGCTGTTGACGTATATCCCAAATTTGTCTCCACTTTTGTGGATTGGGGTGATCAGTCCTTGGTTCCAAATATTGGGGAAGATGCCAGAGCTAAGGATGATGTTAAAGAGTTTAAGTATAGCCAATTTGAATTTGTGATCTGTATATTTTATAATTTCATTGAGGATACCATCAACACCACAGGCCCTTTTTGGTTTGGAGGGTTTGTATTTTGTCCTGTAGTTCATTCAATGTAATTTGAGAATCCAGTGGGTTCTGGTAGTCTTTAATAGTTGATTCTAAGATTTTTTTGCTGTTTGTTCTTTGTTATAGGGACAAAAAGATTGGAGAAGTGGTTTACCCATACATCTCCATTTTGGATCGATAGCTCTTCATGTTTTTGTTTGTTTAGTGTTTTCCAATTTTCCCAGAAGTGGTTAGAGTCTATGGATTATTCTATTATATTGAGCGGATTTCTGACATGCTGTTCCTTCTTTTTCCGTAGTGTATTTCTGTATTGTTTTATTGATTCACCATAGTGAAGGCGTAGGCTCAGGCTTTCTGGGTCTCTATGTTTTTGGTTGGATAGGTTTCTCAATTTTTTTCTTAGGTTTTTGCATTCTTCATCAACCCATTTGTCATTGTTGTTACATTTCTTCTGTTTTCTGTTAGAGATTTTTAGATTTGATAGGGAAGCTGAGAGGTCAAATATACTGTTTAGGTTTTCTACTGCCAAGTTTACACCTTCACTATTACAGTGGAACGTTTTGTCCAGGAAGTTGTCTAAAAGGGATTGAATTTGTTGTTGCCTAACACTACTTTCCTTCCATCTATAGCATTTCTTAATATTATTAAGTTCCTTTGGCTTTGATGCCTCATGATTGAGTATTGCTCTGTTCAAGTAGACTGTGATTTTGCTGTGGTCTGATAGAGGTGTCAGTGGGCTGACTGTGAACGCTCTGAGAGACTCTGGGTTGAGGTCAGTGATAAAGTAGTCTACAGTACTACTGCCAAGAGATGAGCTATAGGTGTACCTACCATAGGAGTCCCCTCGAAGCCTACCATTGACTATGTACATACCCAGCGTGCAACAGAGCTGCAGGAGTTGTGACCCGTTTTTGTTGGTTATGTTGTCGTAGTTGTGCCTAGGGGGGCATATGGGGGAGGGAATTAACAACTCCAGGTAGGTGTTTGTCCCCCTGTGTGCTGAGGGTGTCAGGTTCTTGTCCAGTTCTGGCATTTAGGTCGCCACAGACTAGTACATGTCCCTGGGTCTGGAAATGATTGATTTCTCCCTCCAGGATGGAGAAGCTGTCTTCATTAAAGTATGGTGATTCTAGTGGGGGGATATAGGTAGCACACAGGAGGACATTTTTCTCTGTTGAGATCATTTGCTTTTGAATTTCTAGCCAAATGTAAAATGTTCCTGTTTTGATTAATTTAATAGAGTGAGTTAGGTCTGCTCTATACCAAATTAGCATACCCCCTGAGTCCCTTCCCTGTTTCACACCTGGTAGCTCTTTCTCTTTGGAAGATCACAATTGGGCATTTCCTGGAAACTCCTGATGCTGACTATTATCAACATTGTATCTGCACAAAATAGAGGAAATGCATCTTTATACTACCATCAGCAAGCACAACCTTAATAAACAAAACATATCAAACTGACAAACAGCATTCTTCAATATTCATATGACCTCAAAAGCGTTTTAATTTAATCAAATTGTTGAAAAATATGATTATCTCCTCTTGTCAAAATCTATGTTGTGGGTCTAGGTGTCACGTTCGTCGATGAGAGAGGACCAAGGCGCAGCGTTACGAGCGAACATATTTATTATTTAAACGTACACACGAACAAAACAACGAAAACGTGACGTCTATGGTACAACATGAAACCACACAAACAAAATCCCACCAACACAAGGTGAACACAGACAGTTTAAATATGGCTCCCAATCAGAGATAACGAGCCGACAGCTGACACTCGTTACCTCCGATTGGGAGTCATTTGACCAAATAAGGGAAACACAAAACCAAAACGAACACACCCTGGCTCAAAATACAAAGTCCCGGAGCCAGAGCGTGACAGTACCCCCCCCTAAAGGCGCGGACTGCGACCGCGCCTCAAAACCCCAAAATAGGGGAGGGCTGGGTGGGTTTTGCTCCTCGGAGGCGGCTCCGGCTCCGGGCTTGACCACCACCCTACTTCAATCCCCGCATAATGGCCCCGATCCGATCTGACCCAGCTGGCTGGATCAGGACTGACGACGCGCATCCCTGGCTTAGCGCGTGAGGCAGGAACGGACCGGACCTGGCTGACGATACGCACCCTAGGCTTGGTGCGTGGAGCCGGAACGGACCTCACCAGGCTGACAACTCGCATCCCTGGCTTGGTGCGAGTAGCAGGAATGGGCTGGACCGGGCTGACGACTCGCACCCTTGGCTTGGTGCGAGTAGCAGGAACAGGCCGGACCAGGCTGACGACTCGCCCCCTTGGCTTGGTGCGAGTAGCAGGAACGGGCTGGACCAGGCCGACGACTCGCATCCCTGGTTTGGTGCGAGTAGCAGGAACGGGCTGGACCAGGCTGACGACTCGCACCCCTGGCTTGGTGCGAGTAGCAGGAACGGGTTGAACCAGGCTGGCGACTCGCACCCCTGGTTTGGTGCGAGTAGCAGGAACAGGCCGGGTCGGGCTGGCGACGCACACCGTGGGCTTTGTGCGTGTAGCAGGAAGAAGCCGGGCTGGGCTGGCGAAGCGCACCTCAGACTCGGTGCGGAGCGCAGGAACGGGCCGGGCTGGGCTGGCGACGCGCACCACAGACTCGGTGCGGAGCGCAGGAACGGGCCGGGCTGGGCTGTCGACGCACACCGTAGGTTTGGTGCGGGGAGCAGGAATAGACCGGACCGTACTGGGGACACACACCACTGGCTCTACACCGGGATCTGGAACGGGCCGGACCGGACTGGCAACACCCGCCAGTACCTCTCGCCGTGCCTCTACACCTACCATCCCCTCTTCTACCAGTGGCCCCCGTAACCTGGCGGCCTCTTCTGCAACCCCGCTGGACCGCTCCATAGCGGCCTCCTGCTGCCCCGACGTCGTGAGCCCCCCCCTAAAAAATTTCTGGGGGTCTCTCCAGGCCTCCAACATTCTCTCCCACCTCTCGCTCCTCTGTCTCCAACCCTCCTCACTCAACTCCTCAATGGGCTTGACCCAGTCGAAGCTGCCACGGAGATCATTTGGCGATGGCCCTTGGACACGCTGCTTGGTCTGGTCTTGGTGGGATTTTCTGTCACGTTCGTCGATGAGAGAGGACCAAGGCGCAGCGTTACGAGCGAACATATTTATTATTTAAACGTACACACGAACAAAACAACGAAAACGTGACGTCTATGGTACAACATGAAACCACACGAACAAAATCCCACCAACACAAGGTGAACACAGACAGTTTAAATATGGCTCCCAATCAGAGATAACGAGCCGACAGCTGACACTCGTTACCTCCGATTGGGAGTCATTTGACCAAATAAGGGAAACACAAAACCAAAACGAACACACCCTGGCTCAAAATACAAAGTCCCGGAGCCAGAGCGTGACACTAGGAGTGTAGGCGTACTGTATTCTGCACCTGGCTTTGTTCATATCGAACATCAATTCTATTGATAATAATACAAATCAAAAGTAGGCAATAACTGGGACTGCCAGTGTAAAAAAAAGTAACATTTTCTATTTAACAGTTGACCTAACAAGAAAACAGCATTGATCTCCATTCAGTCATGCTATTAAACGTTAACTGTCAACCCGTGTGAAAGTTATTGACATGCAGCGCATTATTCTTCCGATCGTTGATCCAAGTGATGACATCAAAAGATAGGAACGCTGGACTATTTCCATATTCTGCGTCACGGATGGACGGGGAGATGTGAACTGTCTGAAAGCGACAGTTAGTTCTCTATGCAGCAACAGAGAAGGAGACCGAACAAACATACATACAGGTTGACAATAACACGTGTTCAGATCTAGAAGAAACGCTTTAGGCTATATTAGTAAACCTTTTAATCTTTACTGGACTTTATTACAGTTCTGCGAGGTAGTAAACCTGTTCATCTTTATTGGACTTCATTACAGTTCTGCGAGGATGTTTTTCAAAACCTTTCTTTTGCTGGCAGGCGCGAATGCGGCTTCAGCCGTTTATAACGGTGAGTAGAATTCCCCTGATGTGTGATAAAATGTATTCCATACATGTGTGATAAAATGTATTTCATACAAAGAACGTGTAGCATACACTTTTAGGTCCTGCCTGACTTATAGCCATAAACTATTATTTGGCAAAGTTTCATGCTAGGCTATAACGGGTCAGTGTGGCACAGTGACTTCAATTTTACGCACTAATTTATAACCGTCGCAACATACAGTATTATGTGTATTATTATTAAGTGTCATGAAACATTTATAGACAGTTACATATTCCAAAGTATAAAATACTACACTGAACAAAAATATAAACATGTAAAGTGTTGGTCCCATGTTTCATGAGCTGAAATAAAACATCTCATAAATGTGCCATACACACAAAAAGCTTATTTCTCTAAAATGTTGTGCACAAATTCGTTTACATCCCTGTTAGTGAGCATTTATCCTTTGCCAAGATAACCCATCCACCTGACATGTGTGGCATATCAAGAAGCTGATTAAACAACGTGATCATTACACAGGTGCACCTTGTGCTGGGGACAATAAAAAGTAACTTTAAAATGTGCAGTTTTGTCACACAAAATTCCCTCCAAGGCCTACCCATGGCTGCACCCCTGCCTAGTGATGTGAAATCCATAGATTAGGGTCTAATGAATTTATTTCAATTGACTGATTTCCTTATATGAACTGTAACTCAGTAAAATCTTAGAAATTGTTGCGTTTATATTTTTGTTCAGTATAAGTCATTTACATTTACATTTTTAGTCATTTAGCAGACGCTCTTATCCAGAGCGACTTACAGTTAGTGAATGCATACATTTTTCATACTGGCCCCCTGAGGGATATTTATGGAGTTTTATTATAGACCTACATTTTATCCTTTGCTTTTCTTGGCTGATATAACTCTCCTTTTTATGAAGCAAAAAACAGGTTAAAATGTATTGCGATAGGATTTTAGAAGTGGTCTTGTTGAATACATCATTTTATTGACAGAACCAGCATTTTATCGACAATGAAAAGGGGATTTTAAAGAAAGTTACTCCATTACCCATGGAAGACCCCTCATTTTCAGGACACACTTCATCCCATTTCCAAGGGGATCCTATAGGAACTTCAAACTCTCTGAAGATCAAACAGTCTCTGTTTCAGGCCCTCCTCACCACTGCGCTCTATGACTATTATAATGTAGACTGCAGTGCTCCACACACCTACTCCCATGTGTGACTGACTCACGTCTCTGTGTTGTTTTTCTCCAAAGGCAGCACCATCGTGAGGACCTTCGCCATAAGGTTAGTCACGGAAGGGTCCCTGGTCACAGACGAGCCAATAGATCTAGACCTACTGGACAACTACCCAGACGAAGACAGTAATGGGCCCGGAGTCGGACTAAACAATGTGTCCGGACCGGGAGAGAGAGTTGGGTTTATAAACGGGTCCAGACTGGGACCATTGGAACTGGGCTCTGCCAGGAATGCTACAGGAGTCTGGTTTTACGCTATCTCTGTTATGGCCAACGACTTCCTCACAGGCCACCTGTCCACCATCTTCATCCCGACACTTTACACCATCATCTTCCTCATCAGCGTGCCCCTTAACACTGTTGCCATGGTGACTTTTGTCCGACGGATCCGGCCCATGAAGCCGGCAGTGATCTACATGCTGAACCTGGCAGCCGCCGACCTGCTGTTCGCCCTGCTGCTGCCCTTCAAGATCATCTACCACTACAATGGCAATGACTGGTTCTTCGGCGAGGGGCTGTGCCGCCTGGTCACTGCAGCCTTCTACTGCAACATGTACTGCTCCGTCCTCCTCATGACCTGTGTCAGCGTGGACCGCCTTCTGGCGGTGGCCTACCCCATCGACTCCCTGGCCTGGAGGAGCCCCCGCAACGCAGCCTTAGCCTCCAGCGCCATGTGGAGCCTGGCTGTGGGCGGCTCGCTGCCTCTTGTCCTCTCACAGCAGACAGTCTACTACAACCCACTGGATATCACCACCTGCCATGACATCCAGGACCTGGAGCTGTTAGAGGGGCACTACCTCTTCTTCTTCCCTACGCTCTCCTGTACCCTCTACTTCCTGCCGCTGATCGTCATGGTGACCTGTTACTCCCGGGTGGTGCAGGTGCTCAAAAAGTCTCCGTGCGGTGTTGTAGGTAAATACAAACCAGGGAAACCAGACAATAATGTACTTAATTTGGCTAATCTGTTTCTTAATCTTGATTCAGCATGTTTGTTTTAAAAATGTTTCTCATTAGAGGATAATAATATTTTCTATTGTAATTTGATCTGATCTAGGTCGTTCGAGGCAGAAGGCGCGGGCTGTGGTGATGGCGGTCACCGTGCTTGTGGTGTTCGTGGTCTGTTTCACGCCCACCAACTCCATTCTCCTCGCTCACTACCTCCAGATCGCTGGGCAGGTGAGTGGGGAGCCGGATACTACCCACGTGGCCTACCTGGTGTCACTATGTGTGGGGAGCATCAGCTGCTGCCTGGATCCCCTGGTCTACTATTCTGGCTCGTCCCAGTGCCAGAGGAAGCTGGAGGGGGCGCTGGGATGCCGGGCGGCCGCCGAGGGAAGGAAGAGTCTGGCCTCATCCTCTGGTTCCTCCAAGACCAGCACCAGGACCAGAATCAGCACGAGGACCAGCACTAGGATTACTAAGGTGGACACCTTCCAGGCCAGTCTCAGCAGCCAGTACAAGAAACTCCTGGTCTGATGGATGGATGGAGACACAGAGAGCTGTTTCTGATTCACTCACTAAAGTAAAGAATATACTGTATATATAGTATATACTGTATTTTCACTGTTTCAGACAGTGCAAGAAGCTTCTGGTCTGTAAGATAGACATGGACCAAAGCTAGGCTATATCTGAGTAGAAAGAATGGATTTGGCTTGTATGATAAATTCAGTCAGACATTCATCCATAGCCAGTGGCCATCACACTATAGGTCTGGGTTAGCTATGCCCAACTCTAAATATAAAGAAGAGATATACATTTCCCTTGTTTCAGACAGTGCAAGAAGCTGCTGTTCTGATTGACACGGGCCAAAATTGTTTCTGAGCTGTACCCAACTACAGTACCGAGAAGATATATTTAGGGTAAGAGAAAAGGAAAATGTAAATCTTTTGAAAATGTAATGGATAATACAATTTATCTTTATCTTAAATATATTTATACAAATGAATTAAAAATGAAAAGTTGAAATGTCTTCAGTCAATAAGTATTCAATATTTTTGTTATGGCAAGCCTAAACAAAGTTCAGGAGAAAATAATTGCTTAACAAGTCACATTATAAGTTGCATTGACTCACTCTGTGTGCAATAATAGTGTTTAACAGGATTTTTAAATGAGTACCTCATCTCTGTACCCCACACATACAATTATCTGTAAGGTCCCTCAGTCAAGCAGTGAATTTCAAACCCAGATTCAACCACAAAGACCAGGGAGGTTTTCCAATGCCTTGCAAAGAAGGGCACCTATTGGTAGATGGGTAAACATGTAAAAAAGCAGACACTGAAGTTATGAATTACACTTTGGATGATGTATCAATACACCTAGTCACTTCAAAGATACAGGCGTCTGTAGGAGCGACGTCTTTTCATGAACAGGGTGGTGTACCTTAATAAACTGGCCACTGAGTGTATATTATCACTACAATAACTTTAGCTCACACTCATTATTACTAAATTGTCCATTTGTGTGAATGTATTATCGATGCATTCAGAAATGGAAGCGCTGTTTGACTACTCAAATACCCAAACAAGTCGAGCAAAACGCGTCAGAACAGGTACTACGCTGCGTACAGACACCCTTGCGCACTCAGCGTACGAAATATAACGCATTGCTGTACCACTTCGAGAGTAAGAAGTGCTGTGATACCCCCTACTGGTGTGAATTATACTCATTTCAAGTCAAGGACATTTTACAGCACTTTGTCACAGTCCTGCATGTTGCATTACATACAGCAGGTGATGCTACATACTTATTTAGTACAAACAAGTATTTTGTTTGCTAAGTGGGACTTATATTTGGTATGGAGGATAACATTAAATGAAAAAAATATTAAATGGTCTTAAAGAAGGTATTTGTGCCATACAGTTACAGAACATTATAAAAAAACTATGGTAAATGTTTCAAATAAAGCTATCCGATTTTTTTGTGTGTGATGATGTATATTTTGTTTGTGGTTTAATTTCTTTAAAATGTATTTAAGGAATACAAATAATGGACACAGGCATTGTGAATAGCTGAAATATTGAGTAATACATGTTTATGCACACACACACACACACACACACACACACACTGGCAGTGTCTCATCAATTGTGTCTCATCATAATTTCAGGTAGTTCACCAAATTAACTATACAATAAAACCCCCCCCCCGATCACCACCATTCCATTCCTCCGTTTCACCTGTACAAAGACAACATAGCAAGAGAAAAGCACCCGAGAGTCCTCAAGAAACTAGCCATCTGCTCTGTTTTATTGACCAAACAGAGATGCTAGTGACTAAGTCAAGCAAAAAGATCAAACTGTTGGAACTTCCACTGAGACTGCCTTGAGTACACTGGACCTGATGCAAGACACACCACTTTCTCATTACTCTCATAAACCTTTGCTCTGTGTTGCAACTGGCAACATATAGACAGAGAGGAGGGCAGGAGAGATCAGCAGACAGGGAATCATATTATTTAACTGTGAAGAAATGTTCTTGATGCACTCCTCTTTTCCACTATTAACTAGCCTACCTACTACACATGCTGGTAGGCCTACTCTACTGCAGTGCTGAGCTGTACATTTCCTTAGGCCTATACTTGTCAAGAAGACACATTTGCACATCCGTTTTTCTGCAGGTGGTAGTGAAGGTGCCCCTAGGCACAGCTCTAGGATCAGCTTATACCTTCCCTAAATTCCAACTTGAAGCCTAAGTGGAAAAATATAAAACTGACCTTAGATCAGTGTCTGAGGGCAACATTTTGACCTACTATATCCCCTCAGCCAGTTAGCCTGAACAACACAGGTGTGCATGGTCACGTGTCTTATGACATCACGCAGGTATTTTTCTTCCCACCTGTTATGAAAGGAAGGGGTGTGGTACCCTATCTCTTCAGTTCACTTCAACGTCGCACAGACAAAAGGAATACACAAAGGCGTGTATCAGCATTCAACACTTTTCATACATCGCAGATAGATCATTGTTGGAAAGTTTTGTGGAAGTTAACATGAATTTCAAGCCACATTGGTTGAAACATATATTTTTATTGGCCTGCGCCGATCTCTGTCTGTCTCAGAAAAATGGTAAGAGAGCCTTTACCCTCTTTCTCTCGTTATTGATGTTTTTTTCCCCGATCAGATAAACAACGTTGTTACGCTATTCTTTATTGCCTTGGGCAATTTATTGAGTCGGATTCCCTCTGATTCCTGAATGCAGAGATTGTGAAATACCCTGACTTGTCATGTTGTGATGGTATTTCCAATGTCGGGTGTGGTTACAAACCTCAAGACGCCAATGAGTGATGTCATTATCCCACATGACAATGGGTTTCTCCAACATTGCAGCCGACAGTGCAGGCGACTTCTGACTGATTTATCTACACATCACCTTGCATCATAAATAACGACTCATTAGTATCAGTTAGTCAGTCACAATTTACCCATGATACATCACGGTTTTGACGCTCTCGAACACGGCCTCAGACGCACTAATCTTCAAAGATTTTTGAGAAGGGTGCAATTGCGCCCCGGAATTCGGGGCGTTCCTGCATGTGGGCATCTGCAGGAACCCCTCTTTATACACTACATCACCAAAAGTATGTGGACACCTGCTCGTCAAACATCTCATTCCAAAATCATGGGCATTAATATGGAGTTGGTTCCCCTTTGCTGCTGTAACAGCCTCCACTCTTCTGGGAATGCTTTCCACTAGATGTTGGAACGTTGCTCCGGGGATTTACTTCCATTCAGCCACATTAGTGAGGTCGGGCACTGATGTTGGGGGATTAGGCCTGGCTTGCAGTCAGCATTCCAATTCATCCCAAATGTGTTAGATGGGGTTGAGGTCAGGGCTCTGTGCAGGCCAGTCAAGTTCTCCACACCGATCTCGACAAACCATTTCTATGGACCTCGCTTTGTGCACGGGGGCATTGTCATGCTGAAACAGGAAAGGGCCTTCCCCAAGCTGTTGCCACAAATTTGGAAGCACAGAATCATCTAGAATGTCATTGTATACTGTAGCATTAAGATTTCCCTTCACTGGAACTAAGGGGCCTAGCCCGAAACATAAAAAACAGTCCCAGACCATTATTCCTCCTCCACCAAACTTTACAGTTGGCAATATGCATTGGGGCAGGTAGCGTTCTCCTGGCATCCGCCAAACCCAGATTAGTCCGTCGGACTGCCAGATGGTGATGCGTGATTCATCACGCCAGAGAATGCGTTTCCGCTGCTCTAGAGTCCAATGGCGGCGAGCTTTAGACCACTCCAGCCGACGCTTGACATTGCGCATGGTGATCTTAGGCTGCTCGGCCATGGAAACCCATTTCATGAAGCTCCCCTGACAAACAGTTATTGTGCTGACGTTGCGTCCAGAGGCAGTTTGGAACTCGGTAGTGAGTTTTGCAACTGAGGACAGATGATTTTTACGCACTACGGCAGTTCCATTCTGTGAGCTTGTGTGGCCTACCACTTCGCAGATGAGCTGTTGTTGCTCCTAGACATTTCCACTTCACAATAACAGCAATTACAGTAGGTAGCAGTAATGCACCATAACGTTGGATGCCAACTGCCGATAAACCCCACAGAAGACGAGACGGGGGCAACAACGGTATCTAGCTAGCTAGGACAATGGTAGACACTGTCCTTCGCCCCCACCTGTCAGGCACTGTTTTCCATCAGTTCTGTTAACGAGGGTGAGAGCAGTTGTTTGGCAGGCGTTTAGGAACTTGGGTGCTAGCTAGCTAGTTAGCAAGCTAGGACTCTGGTACACAGCAGGCGGGAAAGATGGAGGAATGGCCACCTGCAGGAACGCACTATTGATATTCTTTACTGAAAATGACCTTCTTAAGGGGTATACTACAAAGCAGGATCAATGACTTTATTTTCTGGTTCATAAAGAAAGCTACACTTAGATACAGTATGTGTTTTTGGTTTTTGAGTTAAGTAGACCATGCCCATTTTAAGCTTATCCTCATCCTCCTTGTTCCTCATTTTAGTATACCCCTCTGGCGTCTTATTAGTTGATTTCAAATAAATGTTGTGTACTTTTGATTTAGTTTACATAAGAACAATAGACAATGTATAATTGAGGCATGTACCTGACAGCGAAGTAAATCAATCACTAATGTCTATTGTATTTAAATAAATGGCATACAATCTAACCCCATTGTTAGAAGTCCATAAACAGCCCTGTTTATACTCACCTCTCCTCTCTTTCTCAGAGCGGTTTGATGCTGACGTTGAAGACCGAGGATTCACAGGGAACGAGACAATGGAGGGGGTAAGGGTCTCCTTGACGGCCCGCATGGTTCTGGACAGTCATCTGACCACTGTGTTCCTCCCCATTGTCTACATAGTGGTGTTTGCTGTGGGGCTGCCCACCAACACCATGGCCATCTGGGTCTTCCTGTTCAGGACCAAGAAGAAGCACCCTGCCGCCATCTACATGGCCAACCTGGCGCTGTCCGACCTGCTGTTTGTCATCTGGACGCCCCTGAAGATCGCCTACCACTTCAACGGCAACGACTGGATCTATAGAGAGAGGCTGTGTAAAGTGCTGGTGGGCTTCTTCTATGGGAACATGTACTGCTCCATCCTCTTCATCACCTGTATCAGTGTCCAGCGCTACTGGGCCATCGTTCACCCCCTCTCCCAGAAATGTAGGGACAACCAGGTAGCCATCGGTATCTCGGTCGCAGTCTGGGTGGGGGTCTGGCTGCTGACCACCCCTCTCTACCTCTACGACCAGACAGTCAAGGTGACCAACCTCAACATCACCACCTGCCATGATGTCATCCGGCCCAGCCAGAATAGCATGGCCGTCGGCTACTTCCTGACCATGGGAACCCTGGGATTTGTAGTTCCCACTGTGGTGTGCGTGGTGGCCTACGTTCTGATGCTCAAGTCGCTAAGGCACTCCATGACGAACGCCAGCATCACCAAGAATCGGCACAAGGCTGTGGTGCTCATCATCACTGTGCTGGTCATGTTCCTGGTCTGTTTCACCCCCAGTAACATCATGCTGCTTGTGCACTACTCCCTCCTGCTGGCCGGAGTAGTGAACAATGGCTATGGCTTTTACATCACCACCCTGTGTCTGGCCAGCCTCAACAGCTGTGTGGATCCCTTCATCTACTACTTCATCTCAGAGGAGTTCAGGGAGCATGTAAAGAACACGCTGAGGTGCCGCAGCGAGAGGACAGTGGCGAGGATGAGGGTCTCGTTCAGCGCTCTAAAGTACTCCAAGAAGAAAAGCACCTACACCTCAGACTCAGGGAACACACAGAGCAGCTCCGGTTAGGGGGTTGTGATGTGGAGATGGAAGTTGGCTGTACTGATGTTTTTAAAGTACTGGACGGGTGAAAGGGAATACTAAAATGTAATAGCTGGTGACCATCTGCCATGTTGCTTTCACCTGAGTTGTTTCATCAGTATTCATGGAAAAGAAGCCATTTTAAACTGAGATGCAACCCCAGACTACTTCATATTATGTGCTTGTGTTACATTGCCTTCTCTTCCCTCATACATGATTTTTAAGTGGAGATTTTGTTGGTTTTATGTAGAGGACAGAATTAGTAAGAGTGATGAGGCAAATTGTTTTATTCTGTGTTACTGATCTATCCCCCACATTTGGACAGTCAGATGTCCATTAAGTTTGTTCCAGCACTGAGCTCTCTGAAACTGTCAACTTAGTTCTCAGTGCCCAGCACTGACCCTTCATTTCTGGTAATGAGCACTGTTCTTTAAGTGAGCCATTCACCTAGAGTGCCTAGTGAAAGTCTACACCCCCCTTGCACAGTTATGACATTTTGCTGCCTTTTAAATTAAATCAAAAAAGGGATTAAGTTTTTAAAAAATCCTACAGATCTACACCACCTGCTTGACATTTTCATAGTGAAAGAATAAGTATAGAAATGTTTTTATTTTTTTCTAAGATGTGTTGATTGTGTTTGTCTTCACACCCCATAGTTAATACTTAGTGGAAGCACCTTTGGCAGCAATTACAGCTGAAAATAATTTTGAATAACATTCTACCAACTCTTAGGGCAACATTATATCCACTGTTTTTGTCAAAATTGCTCAAACTCAGTACATTTGGTTGGGAATCATTGATGAACAGCAATATGCAAACCTAGTCTCTGATTTTCAAGCAGATGGACGGATGGAAACTGGACCCCTCTAAAACACTCAACACCTTGGAATACCATTCTGGTGTGTCTTTGTTATTCACATTTCTGTAATTGTCCCACTGAAAAACAAACCTCTATCCCAGGATTAGGTATTCAGAAGACTGAGGCAGATGTCCTCTACATTTTTACCTGGGCTTTACTCCTTTCATTTTTCTTCTGATCTTGACAGACTCCCCAGTCTCTGCCAGTGACAAGCATACGCATAATATGATGCTGCCACCACATTACTTGAAAATGGTACAATCTTATTTTAAATGATTTTCAGCTGTAATTGCTGCCAAAGGTGCTTCCACCAACTATTAACTCTGGGGTGTGAAGAACTACACAATCAAGACATCTTCGTATTTTTTGTTTTTACATTTTCTGTACGTTTTCTTTCACTTTGAAAATGTGGAGCAGGTTGTGTAGATCTGTAGAAAAAAACGATTGAATGTAATTCCTTTTTAGATTTGAATTTTAAGGCAGAACATTTTGACTGTTCAAGGAATGTGTAGACATTCACTAGGCACTGTAAACCATGAATTTATGATATTTCCATCACCTATGTATATGCTCGTGAATGCGCATCTGATAAATAAAATGTAAATATTGTACATATTACATTTTTATTGTCTATAATATATTTTTTTTAACTGACATGTTGTGATGGAAGTGTGTAATGTTTTATTTTTCAATAGAAATACATAAAACAGTCAGATGAGTGGCATTTAGCAATGGTTCCCTTTCTGTTGTGACATGAGTTTGCATGAACAAATACCAAGTAGAAAAGGGGAAATTCTGATAATCTTGAATGCACAGTATACTTTTGTCTAGGAGAACTTTAGCCTACACCCTGAGAGATGTTGCGGCCTTAACTACAGTGCCTTGCAAATGTATTCATCCCTCTTGGCGTTTTTCCTATTTTGTTGCATTACAACCTGTAATTTAAATGGATTTTATTTGGATTTCATGTAATGGACATACACAAAATAGTCCAAATTGGTGAAATGAAAAGAATAACTCAAAAAATTCTAAAACATAAATAACGGAAAAGTGGTGCGTGCATATGTATTCACCCCCTTTGCTATGAAATCCCTAAATAAGATCAGGTGCAACCAATTACCTTCAGAAGTCATATAATTAGTTAAATAAAGTCCACCTGTGTGCAATCTAAGTGTCAAATGATCTGTCACATCTCAGTATATACAGTTGAAGTCGGAAGTTTACATACACCTTAGCCAAACACATTTAAACTCAGTTTTTCACAATTCCTGACATTTAATCCTAGTCAAAATTCCCTGTCTTATGTCAGTTAGGATCACCACTTCATTTTAAGGATGTGAAATGTCAGAATAATAGTAGAGAGACTGATTTATTTAAGCTTTTATTTCTTTCATCACATTCCCAGTGGGTCAGAAGTTTACATACACTCAATTAGTATTTGGTAGCATTGCCTTTAAATTGTTTAACTTGGGTCAAATGTTTCGGGTAGCCTTCCACAAGCTTCCCACAATAAGTTGGGTAAATTGTGGCCCATTCCTCCTGACAGAGCTGGTGTAACTGAGTCAAGTTTGTAGGCCTCCTTGCTCGCACACGCTTTTTCAGTTCTGCCCACAAATGTTCTATAAGATTGAGGTCAGGGCTTTGTGATGGCCACTCCAATACCTTGACTTTGTTGTCCTTAAGCCATTTTGCCACAACTTTGGAAGTATGCTTGGGGTCATTGTCCATTTGGAAGACCCATTTGCGACCAAGCTTTAACTTCCTGACTGATGTCTTGAGATATATCCACATCATTTTCCTTCCTCATGATGCCATCTATTTTGTGAAGTGCACCAGTCCCTCCTGCAGCAAAGCACCTCCACAGCATGATGCTGCCACCCCTGTTCTTCACGGTTGGGATGGTGTTCTTCTGCTTGTAAGCCTTCCCCTTTTTCCTCCAAACATAACAATGGTCATTATGGCCAAACAGTTCTATTTTTGTTTCATCAGACCAGAGGACATTTCTCCAAAAAGTACGATCTTTGTCCCCATGTGCAGTTGCAAACCGTAGTCTGGGTTTTTTATGGCGGTTTTGGGGCAGTGGCTTCTTCCTTGCTGAGCGGCCTTTCAGGTTATGTCAATATAGGACTCATTTTACTGTGGATATAGATACTTTTGTACCTGTTTCCTCCAGCATATTCACAGGGTCCTTTGCTGTTGTTCTGGGATTGATTTGCACTTTTCGCACCAAAGTACGTTCATCTCTAGGAGACAGAACGTGTCTCCTTCCTGACCGGTATGACGGCTGCATGGTCCCATGGTGTTTATACTTGCGTGCTATTGTTTTACAGATGAACGTGATACCTTCAGGCGTTTGGAAATTGCTTCCAAGGATGAACCAGACTTGTGGAGGTCTACAATTTTATTTCTGAGTTCTTGGCTGATTTATTTTGATTTTCCCATGATGTCAAGCAAAGAGGCACTGAGTTTGAAGGTAGGCCTTGAAATACATCCACAGGTACACCTCCAATTGACTCAAATGATGTCAATTAGCCTATCGAAGCTTCTAAAGCCATGATGTCATTTTCTGGAATTTTCCAAGCTATTTAAAGGCAGTCAACTTAGTGTATGTAAACTTATGACACACTGGAATTGTGATACAGTGAATTATAAGTGAAATAATCTGTCTGTAAACTATTGTTGGAAAAATTACTTGTGTCATGCACAAAGTAGATGTCCTAACCGACTTGCCAAAACTATAGTTTGTTAACAATACATTTGTGGAGTGGTTGAAAAACAAGTTTTAATGACTCCAACCTAAGTGTATGTAAACTTCAGACTTCAACTGTATACACCTGTTCTGAAAGGCCCCAGAGTCTGCAACACCACTAAGCAAGGGGCACCACCAAGCAAGCGGCACCAAGGAGCTCTCCAAACAGGTCAGGGACAAAGTTGTGGAGAAGTACAGATCAGGGTTGGGTTATAAAAAATATATGAAACTTTGAACATCCCACGGAGCACCATTAAATCCATTATTAAAAAATTGAAAGAATATGACACCACAACAAACCTGCCAAGAGAGGGCCGCCCACCAAAACTCACGGACCAGGCAAGGAGGGCATTAATCAGAGAGGCAACAAAGAGACCAAAAATAACCCTGAAGGAGCTGCAAAGCTCCACAGCGGAGATTGGAGTATCTGTCCATAGGACCACTTTAAGCCGTACACTCCACAGAACTGGGCTTTACGGAAGAGTGGCCAGAAAAAAGCCATTGCTTAAAGAAAATAATAAGCGAACACATTTGGTGTTCGCCAAAAGACATGTGGGAGACTCCACAAACATATGGAAGAAGGTACTCTGGTCAGATGAGACTAAAATTGAGCTTTTTGGTCATCAATAAAAACGCTATGTATGGCGCAAACCCACCTCTCAACACCCCGAGAACACCATCCCTACAGTGAATCATGGTGGAGGCAGCATCATGCTGTGGGGATGTGTTTCATCGGCAGGGACTGGGAAACTGGTCAGAATTGAAGGAATGATGGATGGCGCTAAATACAGGGGAATTCTTGAGGGAAACCTGTTTCAGTCTTCCAGAGATTTGAGACTGGGACGGAGGTTCACCTTCCAGCAGGACAATGACCCTAAGCATACTGCTAAAGCAACACTCGAGTGGATTAAGGGGAAACATTTCAATGTCTTGGAATGGCCTAGTCAAAGCCCAGACCTCAATCCAATTGAGAATCTGTGGTATGACTTAAAGATTGCTATACACTAGCGGAACCCATCCAACTTGAAGGAGCTGGAGCAGTTTTGTCTTGAAAAATGGGCAAAAATCCCAGTGGCTAGATGTGCCAGCTTATAGAGACATACCCCAAGAGACTTGCAGCTGTAATTGCTGCAAAAGGTGGCTCTACAAAGTATTGACTTTGGGTGGGTGAATAGTTTTCTGTTTTTTTGTTTTATTTCTTGTTTGTTTCACAATAACAAATATTTTGCATCTTCAAAGTGGTAGGCATGTTGTGTAAATCAAATGATTAAAAAAAAACAAAAATACCCTTTAATTCCAGGTTGTAAGGCAACAAAATAGGAAAAAGGCCAAGGGGGGTGAATACTTTCGCAAGCCACTGTAAAATGGCAAACTCCTCAA